AATTTTGGGCATTTCAGCCTTTGTAGTTAGTTAAATATTTCAGTTTTTGCATTTTTAAAAATTGCAGTTATATAATAGGGTGGCATGACAGTAACTATAAATTACCAATTTTTTTGTAAAAAGCTTCGCCTATCTTATAACGTACCTTGTGCAAAATTTCATTAATCTATCTTCAATAGATTTCGAATTACAGAATTAAAAGCAGCTAGATGGGTCAAATCTTACACTGTGCGACATAGCCAATCATGTGATACAAAATTTAATTACAAGAACACGTTAAGTGAAGCAAAGTACAACCAATCCTCCCGTTTACAACCTTTGCAGTTTTAACTGTTGTAACTGATCCGTGCCAACCCTGACCATGGCTTTCAATATGGCTGAAAATTAAATTTACATATGGCTGAAAGCCCCGCCTTCTTACAGCAACTCCGCCTTTGGTTTCGGACACTAACGATAATTTAAAGCATCATTTTCATATACTTCTATACAAAACTTGTTATTCATCAAACAAAATTCCATATTTCTTAAAGTACATAACAGGGGTTAACAATTAAGTATTATTGTTCTGTTTTTACTTATTGCTATGAACAATTTTCCTACAAGAATATGAAAGAAGCGAGAAAAAACTCTAAACAAAAAAATGCAAAGAAAATGAAATTGTCGAAAGATAATTTGAGAAAGAAAGATGAAAGCCCATACCAAACAAAAATATTGGAACGATTGTTCTCCCTCTCTCTTTTCATTGAATGATCCTCTCCGCTGAAATTTACTCTAGCTTGCGCCCTCTAACCTAGTGCAATATGTATATTTATGTATGTATGTACATACGTCTCGTTATTAAACTTTTCCTACAAGAGGAGAAAAAAAATCCCGCGCATTATGTATTAAAATTTCCCAATGAAGTTAGTGCACATATATACTAATACATATATGTTGTTGATATATTTACATACCTTATGATACAGTGACGAAGTAAAGCGCTTCCCTCGATGCTGTAGCGGTGAACGGCCTTTAGTTTTTTTCTTATTATGTGCTGTAATTTAATAACGTTTTCATATATGTAATTTTGTATGTACATATATACAAATATACCACAGTTTTTAGGAATAATAAAATAGCGCAATTTTCTCTAACCCAAAAAAAATGTCTTCTAGCAATTTAGCCTTTGGTTTTGGTTTTGATTAATCACTTCTTTCACAGTTCACATTTTTTTTTGTATTGTAATCTAAAAGCTATGATTAAACTTGTTGCTTTTAACTTTAGACTCCTATTCATTCTGACCGGCATCGACGTCTTAGAGCTTTTGGCACGTTTCGTTGTTGAGTATGCCTCGCATGGAAGATGATAAAAATGTTTTATGCGCCGTTCTGTTTTGGATATTTCTTTTTCTCTGGTACAAAATTTAGGATGTCGAGAATGTTCCGATAACCTATTCGCAGGCCAGAAATTGCGTCCGTCACAAAGTCGCCGCAAGGTCGTAGCCAAATTACTGCTTTTATATGTATGTTCGTTTTTTTTTAACTACGAGTGTATATACATAACTGCCGTCCAGACCGCTTCGCTGTCATCCCAGTAAAAGAGGGAGTTTTCCACCTCAATCCCTAATTTATACCCTTTCTAAACCGGAAATAAAGCTATTTCTTCATTCTATGTTCGTACAGATTTTCTGACAGTTTAGTTTGCAATAGTAGATCAAAACAGTGAGAAGGATATGATGTTCACAATAGAAAATATATAAGCAGAAAATCGTTAGGTATTAGAGTTTAAAGAGTATTAAAAAAAATTAAATGAAACAAAAAACTCTGATTATACTAGCAACCCAGTACAACACAAACATTGCTGCTCAGTAGCAATGTTTTAAAAAGGGTTTAAGGTCGGATAATTCGTTTTATTATATCCTTTATATCAGAGATGGGCAAATTGGCTCCCAGGAGCTTTTTGCACTGAGGAGCCGGCTTGGCTCATTTAGGAGCCTGATGAGGGGGGCATCAAGAGCCAGCATGAAGGGTGAAAAAGAGCGTAATACTACAGATTGTACTCCGACTCTCATTACTAAACTAAAAGTAAGATTGTGTTGGTGAGCGCAGAGCAATTTGAGCTACAGTGGTGTAAAAGCGAATCGTATGGGGTAAATGTAACGTATGTAGGTACGCTTTTAAGAATAACAAATTTTCCTCGAAAAAAGTAATTTTTCTTTTACGTTACAAAATAATTTTTGTATGTATTGATATATATATTTATTTAAGCATATATCTATTATCGTTTTCGATTTTTATTGAAGGAATGGCTTTATTTTTTTTAATATTATATTCCCGCTCTCCTTTAATGGAGAAATGACACAAGAGGTATTGCATTATAGTAAAAGCATTTGAAAGCATAAAAGCAGTTCAGCCACAGTATTAAATGCCGACCACTGATGTACATATATATACACACACAGTGAATACGAATCAAACAATTTGGTAAACTGTTTGAATCTTCATTGTTTTTACATTTAACTAATGTTCCCATAATATTAAAAATGTATTCAAATATAAATTATCTTAAACTAAAATGAAAGCAATTATTTAGCACTCTTCGTTGTTACCTTTATTTTCTTTTTCAAGGATAATAGAGTCTATATTTTGCTCCATAGTATTTGCTGTGGCGATTCGCATCATAGGTGTAAAATTTATATCTGGCATCATGTTTATTAAATTCGACTTATTTAAATTAATTTTAGAAAAAAATTGTTCACAAGTATATGTACTTCCGAACATATATATTATTTTTATTTATTATTTTTATTTTATTTATATTTATATTTTTATAAAATGTTATTATATCAGCATATTCTAGAAACTCATGTTTCAGCGGTGTGGAGCAGACATTGGCAAAGGGTGCTGTTTTTGTGACTTTAAGCCTACTCACGTTAAAAACGGAGGATGAACGAACACCACCGCAAAGCGTGCTGTCTTGCAAATACAGCCACCACAAGTGAACGATGCTTATAACAGCTCATACTGATATTGACTTCGGCAAATCTGTACTCCGAATGATCGTGCACGAAACCAGCAACCGCCGTATTTGATCGACAGCCATAATCACGATACTGCATTTGGACGGTTGCCGAAAGCATGACAGCTTATGTGAAAGACTGGCGAAGGCAAGATGCCGCAGTTAGCTAACTTGATTTGTTGCAGAAGTCAAACCGCCGCCTTTGGTTTGTTGCTGAAGGCGCGTTTGAAGTGTTGCCGAAGTGATGATACTGTAGTTCAAAAACAGTCAAAGACACTTGCTTGTTTGAAATGAAGCATTGATA